AATGACTTATGTAAATCTGAAAGTAATGTTTCATAAGGCTGCTAAATTTTAAATAATCCATATTTTGCTCAATTTTTTGTATGCTGGCCGCATACTTGTGTGCAATCACAGAATAAACAGGGCTAAATCATAGGATATTTTATTATGAAACCTCCTTGAAATTTATCAAATAATAGGTCTCCTTGGTTTGTCTGTGAACCTTGTAAAAGTTGTTGGTTAAAAAACTTAGCTTTGTTTGATCAAACATAAACAGATGTGTCATCACTTAACCCAAAACAACAATTAATGAAGTTAAGGAAAAGGTTTTCTTTATTGTCCAATTTGTTGGTAGAAGTATAGAGCTAATTAAATTAGATTCAGTACTCATAGAAACTTCTATATAGCATTTATTATCTAACACTTTTAGAATGTAATACCCAGTTATTAACTATTCTTGCAAGAGGGCCATTGACAAGAACATCTTTAATTACAATACAGTGTTAAGTAATATACCACTGAAAAGTTACTGAATATTTAATTCTCTGAATAAGAATGTAATTCATTCCCTTACATTTATTCTTTCATTAATTAACCTTGATATCATGACTAAAGAAGAAGATTTACAACTACTAATGAGAAAAGGTCCAAAGTTCCAGAAATACCTAGACATTAATTTGAAATGCACCAAAAAGTAATTTGTACACAACTAAGTAATGTTTTACATAATTTGAATAAGAAAGAGAATTTAAAAGTAATCTGATTTAAAAACTGTAAATGAAGTTAAACATAGACATGCTTAAAGAAATTCAGTATTAACAACAATGAACATATTATGGGTAAGAAAGAAGTTATGGATAATTTAAATTATAGATATGTCATCACTTTCACAGGTAAAGCAGCTAAAAACTTTGCTGATCCTTTGAAAAATGTTATAAATTACAACTTTATGTAATGAAATAGGGTTTAGTTTGAATGTATTAACCCGATGATTACCGGCTACTAACTTTCTTAGTAGGCAATGCAAATCTTGCTATATTTTATTCCAACAATAAAACTAGTGGATGAATATGTTCGAAACTTCATAAGAACCTTGATAAATGTATCTAGTTTAAGAAACATAAAGCCTATTACTTTTGATAAATTTTAGTTTTTTTGCATTATGATCTTTACTATCTTGGAAAATTACATTAGGAA